GGTTTTATTAAAAACAGTCGTCTTTCCTCCTATAATTAACGATCTTTACCTCTAAACAACGACGATTTTCTTTAAAAACCGTCATCTTTACTGATAAACAACGACGGTGAAAAGACGTCGTAGTTTGAAACCCAAATAGACGGCAGTCGATTTCACGACCGGGCGAAAACCTTTTACACGACGGTGGTTTCCCGTCGTCTATTTCGATTTTTGTAGTAGTGTATGGCAATGGCTGAGGCCATTAAGGAAGCAATTTGGACGTTAGGGTTAATAGAAGATTTGGGTGTTAATCAACACAAGTTGGATGTGTATTGTGATAGTTAGAGTGCCATTTACTTGGCAAAATATCAAGTACATCATGCAAGGACCAAACATATGGATGTGAGATATCACTTTGTTCGAGAAGTGATAGCTGAAGATGACATTCGTATAAAGAAAATTGATACGGTAGATAATCCTGCTGATATGTTAACTAAGGTGGTGGGTGTATCAAAGTTCAAGCATTGCTTGAATTTAGTGCATGTGAAGCAAGTTTGATCTTGCAATATGATGGAGCAACGGATGCTGCTATGTGTAATGTCTCAGTATGAATTTCATGCCAAGGTGGAGTTTGTTGGAATTGGCATAATCAATATATGCCTAAACTAAAATAGATATCAATGTAGGAAAAGGAAAGCTGTAGGTTTGTGGGTTAGCTTAGACGCAAGCTAACATTGGCTTAATTTATAGTTTGATTAGGATATAGTTTTAGTCTAGGATTTGGTTTCCTATGTATAATAGGATTTGGTTGTAACCTATGTCATCTATTAGTATAAATAGATGACCTTAGGAGCAGTGTAGAGATTAGATTGTGAGGCATCTGTTTGTGTACTTGAGAGTTGTTGGGTTTGTGAGTTCTCTTGTATTTCTTTGGTAATTAATAAGAAGCTTCTGTTGGTTAGGGAGGTACTCCAATATTGGAGGACTTTAATTGTTTGAGTTCCTTGTTCTTTGTTCATTGTTTTAGTTATTGTTTAGGCTTAAAAGTATAACAAGTTTAACATTTCGGTAGGAGATACTCTTATACATTTTACGAAACGAATTAATAGTTACTTTTTATTGTTTAAATCATGGGGGAATGATATGTTTTGTATAATTGAGTGAAACAATGTTAATACTGTGGGAACCAAATTCTAGCAAAACCCTAGGTCAAATATTTCCTTCCATTTGGGGATTATTTGACCTAATTGGGAGTTACTCAATTTAATCGGGAGTTACTCAATTTAACTGGGAGTTACCTGATTTGATTGGGATTGATTTGATTTCTACCATAATTAAGGATTTGATTTAAATCAAATTCCTAATTAATCCAATCTCGCCAAATCAGGGAGGAATAATCCATTTCTATCTGCGGAATTATTCCTCTGAAACCCTAGCCTCCGAGGCCTCTATAAATACATGGCTACGCACAAGGATTGAGGTACGTCTAAAATTCTCTCTGAAACTCTGTAGATATTCCCTCTCACAAACCCTAGCCGCCACACTTTCTCTCCCTCTTACACAAGGCTCTGACCACCTCCAACCACCCGGTTTACACCTTGCATATACATCTCCGTACCCTATTTAGCTATTGTTTTCTCTACGAATCAATTGAACTGACTTAGGTATCATAGGGCATTTGGCCAACACCCCACGAGTGTGGTCCTCTTATTTGAATTTATTTTGCAGGGAGAAAGAGGTGTCGAAAAAGAAAAGGGAATCGTTCAATCGAATATTCTCGTGGGAAGAAATCGCTCCCACAAATACAATGTTTGTCATCATGTCTCCAGTGGAAGTCGGCATATATGCAATGTACCAAACTTTGAGTCCCATTTTTCCACATACAATTGTCAAGGATGAGCACAAATACCATCTCATCGCATGCCATTATTAAATTTATATTGTCTTTATTAACATCACGAAATTTGGAAGTCAAGGGTAAGCAATACGGATCGCAGCTTCTATACACTGGTGTGGCCCTACTCACCCACTATCTAGGCTTTAATTGTCTTGTATATATCCACCACAAGTTCATTAATTATATTATGAGGCCAGACAATTATATGTGAAGTGTATGAAAGTGGATTTGAGACATAAGGGCTTTTACTTCAAGTTGTTAAAAATATTTATTCTGTATTCGAGGTCTTAAATTAATTCGATTAATACTCCGTCCCATTATTACCTGTATAAAAGGAAAATTGGATTTGAGGCCATTGAAAGACTATTGGGTTTAGCCATGATTAAATAAGGCAACCCTCATGAAATATAATGCAAATTAAGCACAAAAAAATGCATTAGAGAAAGATGGAAATGATTAATTAGCAAACACTTGACCAAGGGATTGACTATTCTTAGTCGTTGCAGGCCACTCTCTGATGTCTATAAATTAAAGAGCAAGAGGCAACATGGAGAGGCACACTTGCAATACTTCTTAGAATATCTATCTTTTCCTTATTATCATGGCTAAATCCAATTCATCAGTCGGTAGAGGCCCTTCAATGATTTCGATAGTATTTCTACTTGGGCTGCTGGTGGCTACCTTTGAAACAACAGGTATATCTCTCTCGCACAAATGCATCCACACCCACACACAAACACCTGCAGGCATGATTTGTTGAGGAATTTTAATCTCAGCCATACTTTAAATATGTTAGTGGGTTACATATTTTTGTTCATAGGTACCATACATGCAATTTAATGGGTGAGAAGTCCATAACCTATGCTTAACATAAAATCTTTAATTAATGGAGCTAAACCCGAAGAACTTTACATTGGCTGAAACAATTCATACATTTTTTGAGCCCGTTTAAAATGATCCACCTAGAAAATCGATCAAATTGGATATCCTTTAGCAATTTGAATATAGGTTTATTTACACCAATGCCCTTTTAAACTACGGTCAAATCTCATATTGCTCCCGAAAACTCAAAATGGCCCACTTACCCCGCTTAATCGTATTTTGGTGGCCCAATTTGCCCCCGATGTCAACTCCGTCTAAAAATCTGTTAACTTTGATGACGTGGCATGAATGTTTTTGTAATTTCATACAGATGAATCATTATCCACCACCAATACTGAAATTACAATCCTCAACCACCCAGCTGCCTCCCAAATTTTCTGTACCAATTTTTTTCCTCAGATATGACCAATGGAATTAGAAATTGCAATCCAATTCCAATAACAATAAATCAACCAAGCAATTTAGATGGCCCAATTTTCCTTCTTCTCCAAGCCCACCATTACTCTCCTTCTTCCTCCCCCAATTATCAGAATCAGCACCCCCATTACACGAGAACCCCACTTTCCTCTCCCGATCGAACCCACCACTGAATCTTCGTCCCTCAGACCTGTCCTTGGAGAGATCACCATGACTAGGCAGATCTCTCGATCTCCTTTGGGAATTTCTTGCAGACCCGTCTCTGTTAGTGACTCTTAGGAGAAGGCTTAGTTTCTTGGAACTTAGTGAAGATGGGGGTTTTGGTTGATGCATTATGCATCTTTCTAGAATTGAAAAAACAGAGGGTTTTGTGGCGAGGGTCGGGGCTGCTGGGTGGGGAGGCAGCTGGGGGCTGGTTGAATCAGGAGAGCAAGATTCGTCCCTATATTGGCTTGGAAGGGTACATAATTTTTATATTACTTCATTTTCAAGTGCAAGGTTATTGATAAGCGGGGGAGGGGAAGAATGCTGTTGGGTTTAATTTTTTTTTAATTGAAAAATTATTTATTATTTATTTTGTCCATGTGTGTACGAAATTACAAAAACATCCATGTCACGTAGTCAAAAGTTAACAGACTTTTGGACGGAGTTGACGTTGGGGGGCAAATTGGGTCACCAAAATACGGTCGAGCGGGGTAAGTAGGCCACTTTTAATTTCGGAGAGCAATGTGAGATTTAACCTTAGTTTCAAAGGACATTGGTGTAAATAGGTCTTGAATATATTCAAGATCATTTTAGCGACAAATTATATTGTATAAATCTAGTGAACTTTTCTCCAGGATCATAAAACCTCATTATAATTTCTTCTTCAATATTGCAGGAGCCCAAATTGGTGTATGTTATGGAATGCTTGGAGATCGTTTACCGCCCCCATCAGAAGTTATTGCTCTGTACAAGCAAAATAACATCGGAAGAATGCGACTGTATGATCCAAACCAGGCTGCTCTAGCAGCCCTTAGAGGCTCTAATATTGAGCTCATGCTAGGCGTTCCAAATGACAACCTTCAAAGCCTTGCCTCAAGCCAGGCCAATGCAAATACTTGGGTCCAAAACAATGTGAGAAACTATGGCAATGTAAGATTCAAATACATTGCGGTAGGAAATGAAGTCAAGCCCTCAGACTCCTATGCCCAATTTCTTGTCCCGGCCATGCAAAACATTCAGAACGCAATTTCTAGTGCTGGTTTGGGAATTAAAGTCTCCACTGCCATAGACACTGGAGTGCTTGGAAATTCCTTTCCTCCTTCCAACGGAGAGTTCAAGTCCGAATATGGAGCACTTTTGAACCCCATCATCCGCTTCCTAGTGAACAACAGATCGCCGTTGCTGGTTAATTTGTACCCTTATTTCAGCTACATCGGCAACACTCGTGACATTCGTCTAGATTATGCTCTTTTCACAGCCCCATCAGTTGTGGTACAAGATGGCCAACGTGGCTATCGTAATCTTTTCGATGCCATTTTGGACGCTGTTTATGCCGCTCTTGAGAAGGCGGGCGGAGGGTCTTTGGAAATTGTCATATCCGAAAGTGGTTGGCCATCAGCTGGTGGAACGGCAACAACAATTGATAATGCAAGGACTTATAATGCAAATCTGATTCAACATGTTAAGGGAGGGACTCCAAGGAAGCCCGGAAGGGCCATAGAAACCTACATCTTTGCCATGTTTGATGAGAACAGAAAGAACCCGGAATTTGAGAAACATTGGGGGCTGTTTTCACCAAGCAAACAGCTGAAATACCCAATCAACTTCAACTGAGTAGCTAGGCAAGTGTAGTTGTGGTTAGCAATCTAACCACCAATAAAACTGCAATAAATAGGCTGTCATGTATGGCATCACATGTACCCAAATAATGCTCACATAGAGCAAATAATCTTATAAAACTACCGTAACTTAAAATATTATGTCTTTTTTTGGCAGTATTGATGCATTACAAATGCCATTATAATCTCATTATGTTAAGAGCCTGTTAAAGATGAATTGCAGATATGGGCTTAGTCAAGTTGGTTTAGAGGATGTGCTTCTCACTTTGCCTTGAGTTTAAATCCTTCTTTCCATAATTTAGAATAAATTAAAGTAAAATATTGTTAGTATAAAAAAGACATTATTTAAGTTGAGATAGATGTCAGTGTTATAAAGGAATATGCTTAATACTTCCCCGACTTTTCTCCCATCTTTTTTGTCTAACCTATATTACACCTGATAAGGACGATTACAATAACTCCCATTCAATTTTCTGTACCCATTCTATTATGCCAACTGTAATTTCTTTGTAAAAACCAGCACTGCTTTCGTAATTATATACTAGGTATTGCCCCATGTTGTATAGTTGACTTGTCCTTATTAGGTTTACTTGGACTTTCCTATTTACAATTACAGAATAAGAGATTTACATTAACACCTTGAGGTTTTTGGTCTTTTTACAAAATTCCCTGAGGTTTCAAAAATTACATGAACTTTCTCTGAGGTTTCAGATTATTTTCACAAAACCTCTTTTCTTATTTGTCCAAAAATTGATGATTTCATTAAAAAAAAATTTATGCCAATGAAAAAATTAACCTCAATAAATGCATATGCAATCAATCTCAAAAACTAACTTTGTCATTTGAAAAAAAAAATTATATATAAAATCATCAATATTTGGATGAAAAATCGACGAAAAGGAGTTTATGTGGTTTTCTTGTCTCATATGGTACGTGAGAGCGATGTTCAACCCTCTGCCACCTCGTATCTCTCAACATCTTCTCGTCCTGTCTCATATTTTCTGTTTGTCTTTAAGAAACTTTGGGATAAAAGAATTAAAACATATTTAATTTAAATTTATTAAATGAAACGAAGAAAAGGACAAGGAGAACCAGAAAACAAAACTACCCGAAGGCAGGCTTGGCCTCATGGTGAAAGTTTAACTAAGACGATAGTTATGACACATAACAAATCTTTGTTACAGAAATCCCAATCTAAACGCAGGAGCCTCATCCCACCAACCAAACCAAGAAACAGCCCTGCCATGATTAGCCAAGGCCCTCATTATAGTCTCACGAAAGATACGAGAAAAACGAAAATGCATCAGCGAAAGACGGAATAAACAGACATTTCTTGTTGCAACAACATAGACAGTTGAAATTGGACCCTCCTGTAAAGAGATCTTGAGCAGGTGCAAATCTCTTTCTCATCTCTATAAATCAAGGAGCAAGAGGCAGCCTTGAGAGACGTACACTCAGAATATTTCTTAGAAAATTGTATGTTTCTGACCATGACTCAATCGAATTCGTCATCAGTTGGCAGACGCCTTCCTCTGATTTCCATAGTACTTCTACTTGGGCAGCTGGTGGTGGCTAGCTTGGCAACAAAACAACACACAGGTATGCATATACAATTGGCACCTCTGTCAATCTAACTACCAATTTAACGAAAGCCAATGCACAGCAAATAACAACATTTTTGTGTGTGTATTTTTATAAGATAAGGACCAAACTGTTACATGCAACAAACCACGCATTTAAAATATTATTTCCTTTTTCAATGTAGGTTCTCCAATTGGTGTATGTAATGGAATGCTTGGCGATGACCTACCACCCCAAGCAGAAGTTGTTGCTCTCTACAAGACAAATAACATCCCAAGAATGCGACTTTATGATCCAAACCCAGCCGCTCTAGAAGCCCTTCGAGGCTCCAATATCAAGCTCTTGCTAGGGGTACCAAATGAAAACCTTCAATACATTGCCTCAAGCCAAGCCAGCGCAAATGCATGGGTCCAGAACAATGTGAGAAACTATGCCAATGTGAAATTCAAGTACATTGCCGTAGGAAATGAAGTCAAGCCCTCAGACTCCTTTGCACAGTTTCTCGTCCCAGCCATGCGAAAAATTCAAAAGGCAATTTCTCTTGCTGGTCTTGCAAAGAAAATTAAAGTTTCGACAGCCATCGACACCGGAGTACTTGGAGAGACCTTTCCTCCTTCGATAGGCTCATTCAAGTCTGAGTATGACGCACTTTTGCATCCCATCATCCGCTTCCTAGTGAACCACAAAGCGCCATTGCTTGTTAACTTGTACCCTTATTTTGCTTACAGTGGCAACACTCAAGACATTCGTCTTGATTATGCTCTTTTCACAGCTCCATCAGTTGTGGTACAAGATGGGAACTTCGGTTATCGTAATCTTTTCGATGCCATGTTGGATGGTGTTTATGCTGCTCTTGAGAAGGCTGGTGGAGGGTCTTTGAAAGTTGTTATATCAGAGACTGGTTGGCCATCAGCTGCTGGAACAGCCACAACAATTGATAATGCAAGGACTTATATATCAAATTTGATTCAACATGTGAAGGAAGGGACTCCAAGGAGGCCAGGAAGGCCCATAGAAACTTATATCTTTGCCATGTTTGATGAGAATAGAAAGACCCCAGAGCTTGAGAAACATTGGGGCCTCTTCTCCCCAACAAAACAGCCTAAATACCAAATCAGTTTCAATTGATTAGCTAAAGGTAAGTTTATTGTGACAATAAAAGGGATGTTGTGGTTGCCAATAAAAGATTGCCAAGTTACCTGTAACCCCACACACCACCCCCCGCCGCCCAAAATTTTAATTTTTAATTTGGTCACAAGCACCTTTGTACCCAAAAAAAAGCTCATATAGAGCAAATAGTCTTAATAAGAGATTGTGCGAATTATAATTGTATATGTCTTCTTTGGTAGTTTGACGCATTACAATTTACAGTCGTCATTGTATCTTTGCGTTTAGTTGCTACTTGCATATGCAAATTCATTTTTAATTACTTCAATAGAAACGAACTAGCTCTTAATTTAGTTGTACTTTTTGTTGGCGTGACTTGTGGACCATTGACTTTTTTTCCTTACACACCAAGGATTCCTATTATAATTATATTTGATTTACTTTAATTCATTATTTCCTCCTGTAAATAGAAATAGGAATTTATTATTTACTTGCCCATTTAGGTTTCGTTGTATTATAAATATGACCTCCTCCAAGGAAAAGAATACAATGAAAATTCCCACAAACAAATATTCTCTTATAGTTCTCATATTTTAGCATGGTATCAAAGCGGCGATCTTGGAATTGCTTACTCTAGTTCCCAACCCCGACTTAGGCTCAGATCCTGATCCTGATTCCTACTAAACTTGTATCCTATGCATCTTCCGCTGCACAAAATATGCCTTCCCAACTAGTGATCCCGACACATGGACGAGATTGCGCATACTGTGGTGATCTGAGACACTTTCATGAGACTTGTTTGAAATTGCCTGGCTACCCCGACTGGTGGGCCACTCTCAAAGATCGAACAAAACTTGATATGACCCGTAATGATACTGGTTATGGATTCCATGCTTCGGATAAGAGTGATTCCACGAGCTGGATAATTGATTCCGGTGCAACTGATCATATGACGTTTGATCCTGATGATTTTCTGAATACTACCCAGCCTCGACGAACTTGTATTGCTAACGCCAATGGAGTTACTTATCATGTGACAGGGGCTGGCACTGTTGCACTCTCATTCTCTCTCTCATTGTCTAGTACTTTACTTGTTCCGTCTTTATCCAATAAATTGTTGTCAATTAGTCAGCTTACTAAACAATTGAGTTGCTGTGTACTCATTTACCTGAGTTTTTGTTTGCTTTAGAATATTCACACTAAAGAGATTCTTGGTTTTGGTACTAAGAGAGAGGGGCTATATTATGTAGATGACTTCAGTCCCAGCATGACTAACAGTGTGACGCATCCATTTGATAGCAAACAAAAGAAAATCTGGTTGTGAAGCATCTTATACCAAATTCTCAATTTTCAAGGACTCCGACTTCACATGTGATACTTGTATTTTGGTCAAGAGTCATCGTGTGCCCTATCCATTGAGTACGAAAAATTGTACTACTCCGTTTACGTTAATTCACTCTGATGTTTGGGGACCTTCACCTATCACTACTTCTTCTGGTGTTCGGTGGTTTGTCACATTCATAGATGATTGTACAGTATGACATGGCTTTATTTGCTGAATAATAAAAACGAAGTATTTTCCCGTTTTCAATCCTTCCAAACACAGATGAAAACTTAGTTCAATGCTCAAATCCAGATTCTTCACTCAGACAATGATGAAGAATTTGTCAATCATGACTTTCAGGCTTACTTCCAACAACATAGAATTATCCATGAGATGATTTTTCCTCAGACACCACAACAAAATGGTGTTGCTGAACGAAAGAATCGACATCTTCTTGAAACCACCAGAGCACTTCTAATTGGAACTCATGTTCCTTGCCATCATTGGGATGATGCTATTGTCACCACAGTTCACCTGATCAACCGTATGCCTTCTGGTGTATTGACCTTTAAAACTCGCTTACAAGTGCTTGTGCAACATAGATCCCTCACTTCTGTTTTGGTACTCATACCTCGAATCTTTGGATGTGTGGCTTTCATTCATCTCCACAAAAATCAACGTAGCAAACTTGATCCCTGTGTACTTCGTTGTGTTTTCTGGGTTATGCCACTCATCAAAATGGCTACCGCTATTATCACCCTCCTACCCGACGTACCTATGTCACTTTGGATTTGACCTTTCTTGAATCCGAGCTATTCTTCCATGACCTATCATCCAATTCTACACTTCATGGGGAGATACGAAGTGAAGAGCAGAATTGGAGCAACTTAGAAAATGAAAAAATTCTCCTATGTACAGAAATGATTGATAGTTCCGAGTCTGAAGCACGAGCTTTTTGCCGAAAAGCGATCAATCGCCCATTCATAACGATCAATTGTCTGATCCACCTAATCCCTACAAAAATATTTCTGATCTGAGTCTCACACCTACAGACAATACAGAATAAAGATGAAGACCCTCCATCTAACTCAACAGTACCAACCGATCAATCTCCTAAGAATATCCTTGAGGTAACTACTCTTACTACACTTGTGAATTTAGAGCATAAATCAA